GAGACTAATGTCCCTAGACATTTGATTTACATGATGGGCAAGGGTTTTTGTTTGTTTGTTTGTTTGTTTGGGGGGGGGAGGAAGTTATACACAAAAACACTCAGGAATATATAGTCATTTACACCACCAAAGGGCACATTCTGCAAACCTGCCTCTTTGTCACAAATTTCGGTCTTTCTCTTTCTATGAATCTAGAGTCCTCAGCTGTTCCCTCTCCACGTCCTCATCTCTGCCTCCATCTCTGGAGTCGCTGCTTCTCTGGATAGGGTCCCGAATTCCGCTCATGCATCTGGCAGTGTTTTGTTCTGTTGTGCATAGGGTCCTTATGAGTCAGAACTGATTCTACGGCACCAGCACCTAACAACAAACAGCAAACCTTACGAGTACTCTGATCTTTTTCTAGTTTCACATGTTGAATGCTTTATGCATTTAGTTTGAATATGTTAAAAAATGCATTTAACAGTATAGATTTCCTTCACAATTCCATTCTACATGACTCACATGTTTTTATATATATATATTTTTTTTTTTCATAATTTCCATTATTTTTCTAATCCTTGGCTATTTAGGATTGTTTTTAGTTTTTAGAAATACTTTTGAAAACTATCTTTTTACTATGGATTTAAAACTCAACACACACATTTAATTTTTTATAAGTTTATTGTTAATAAGTAACTAAAGCATCCTCCCAAATAATTCATGTTGGTGGTGATGGGCCGTGGAGTCGGTTATGACCCATAGTGACCCTGCAAAGTTTTTATGGGAGCAGAGAGCCTCATCTTTTTCCCGAAGAAAGACTTGGTAGTTTCGAACTGCTGACCTTGAGGTTAGCAACCCAACCCATAACCACTAAACTACCAAAGCTCCTTAATACATGGAGGTTTCAAAACTGTAACTCCAAACTTTCCCATCATATCATCCACTTTTCCATGATATGGTTGTCAGATATTTGAGTGTTTTTTTTTAAACCTCCCCTTTTCATATATGGGTGAGTCAAACGTTATCCACACTCCAGTTATATTAAAACTTCTGTTGGCTGCAGTCTTATCAGTACTTTCCAGTCAAGGTCACTGCTATGTGGGTGTGAACATGGACATCTGCAAACAAAATTTTGACCCACACTCAAAGGAAGGTAAAAATTTCTTTTGAAACATTGTTGCTGGTTTTGAGACATGGATTCATCACTATGAGCCTGAGCATAAACGGCAACCTCTGGAATGGAAATATCCTCAATCGCCAACAAAAAAAAGTTAAAAAGTCAACCATCAGCTGGAAAATTGGTGCTTACAATTTTCTGGACTTCTCAAGGGCCAGTATTGGAACAATATCAGGAAAAACGTTCAATAATCAACAGTGCTCGTTACAGTGAGATACTCACTGAAGAGCTGAACCCTAAACTTTGGATTAAATGCAGAAAACTGCTATCCAAGAGCTTTGTGATCTTGCATGAATGACAATGCACATCTGCACACCTCTGCCCATACTGTGGACACTCTGCAAAAATGTCATTTTGAGGTGTTAAAATATCCTCTCTATAATCATGATCTTGCTCCATCTAAGTTTCACCTGTTCGATCCCCTGAAAGAAGCCCTTCAAGAATGAAGATTCTTGAAGATTCTTCACCTCTGATGAAGAAGTGAAGACTGTGGTGCATTCATTGCTTGCGACTCAGTCTAAAACATTGTTTAATAAGGGGATATGAAAGTTTGTTAATAGATAACAGAGTGTATTGAAAAGCAAGACGTTTATGTCAAAACAGGATATATTTGTCTTTTCTAAAAGTTGATTAAAATAAATTCTGCAGTCAGAGTGGATAATTTTTGATTCACCCTCATATTAGTAGAGTTTTCTGATATGATAAGCAAAGTCTTTGCTGACTGTGCTTTTTGCTTTCTCCTTCTTCCCTCTGAGTTCAATTTACTTCCTGCTGAATTTTTTTTAAATGTATTATTGTGAATTATGTGATAGTTTACATGGGAGAACATTAACTTTACATTCACCCTATCATATTTTGTTTCATTGCCATGGTTACAATTCCCTCCATGAATCATCAACCAATCCTGCCCACCGTCATCAGCACACAGCCCCCCTCCCTCTCTGGGTCTAAAGTCCTCAGCTGCTCCATATCTTCACATCACCATCTCTGCCGCCATTTCTGCCATCACTGCTTCTCTGGGTAGGGTCCTGCACTCTGCTCTTCTCCCTTGATGGTCCCAGGGACCCCC